TCCCMTCTCTTGTCTGATCTTCTATTCATATGAGGACTAGTCATCTTGGATGAGGGTCCATGCATATGACCTCATTTTACCTTAACCACCTTTTTAAAGACCACATCTCCAACAGWGCCACATTCTGAGGTATCAAGGATTAGTATTTCAATAAGAAAGATTTTGAAGGATACATTTCAGCCCATAAGAGCAAGAAATTGGAAAAAGGAAAGGAGGTGAGATTGTGGCTATGAAGAAATGAAAGCATACACGGTGCTTGCAGGGAAAAGGGAATTTCACCCATGTTCCTTCATATTTAGATTTCTCTACCCTTCCTCTGTCCCAATCCTTTGACTCCAAGCTCCAATCCCAGGTCAGTTCTAAATCTCTGCTCATCATCCCAATCCCTATGATCCACCTTTCCAATCCCAAGTGAAGAGTCCTGACTTCTCTGGCACCCTTTTAGCCCTTAACTACCCCTTGTGGTGGTTCTTAATGCCTTGTAGGTTAACAGACTTGAGGCTTGGCTTTAACTATTCCTGCAGCTTGCAGCTTGCTCAGTTCACGGCTCACCTTCTGTCARTTCTTCCTAGGAGTCAAGCCCCTCCTGCTATAGGTCAAGGTCTTTGAATGTTCTTCCCTTCTGCCCCTTCTCCAGTCCAGCCCCACTCACAAAATTAACATCATTTCACTGTTAAGATCTTACTTAATACCTCTTCCTCACAGAAAATTTTGAGACTCCCACACATACACTTTTCTGGGGGAAGGGTAGGGGTCACCAGGCATTAAATCCAGGAGTGCTTAACCACTGAGTTACATCCCCAGCCCTTTTATATATTGTTTAATTAGAGATAGGGTCTTGCTAAGTTGCTGAAGCTGGCTTTGAACTGGTGATCCTCCTGCCTCAGCCTCCCAAGCTGCTGGGATTACAGGCATGCACAACCACAAAGGGCTACACATTTATTTTCACATGAAACACAGATCCTTCTCCTATGGGCTCCTCTTCCTCTCTGTCATAGGACTTAACACCTTTAGTTACATATCTGAATTGCTATGTTATTAATATCTCTCCTGAGAGACTGACCACGCACTCAAAAGTTCATGTGCAGGGCTGGGGTTGTGGGTCAGTGGTAGAGTGCTCGCTTAGCATGTGTGGGACACTGGGTTTGATCCTCAGCACCACAAACATACATACATACATACATACATACATAAAAATTCATGTGCAATAGGCTGGAGATATATGTAGCTCAGCTGTAGAACACCTGCCTAACGTGAGTAAAACCCTGGGTTTGATCCCCCGCATTGCAAAAAAGAAAAGAAAGTTCATCAACAGAATCTACCTCTGGTCTGTCCATCATTACCTATCCAGCTGGTGTAGAATCTGGCACCTAATAAGCGCTTAATAAATACYTGTTAAATAAAACAAAGAACAAGTGAAAAGTAAAATTAGTGTGAATCAGTGGTCATGTGATCTATTTTTGTTGAATAAATTCACATTGAGGTGGAGACAGTATAAAATCATTAGGTAATGATATCTAGGTGGACGAACACATGTACAGATATTAGTAGATCTCAAGCCAATGGAATTACACATTGAAAGCAGAAATTTATTCTATTAGGTCACAATTCTATAGGAACTACTTAAATATGTTCTTCATCATTCACACATACACACATAATATATAGAGAGAGGATTAGATAGACAACAATGTTCTACAGGCACCCGGTTTAGTGCATTAAAACAGTATGTATCTGCCATCTCCTTCTCCCTATGGCTCATTCTGCTGCTTGATTCTAGCCAACAAACAACCAATAAGAACTCTTTATTCCAGGTAAAGAACTGTCAGATCCCATGGTGACTCCAATCTAACACTTACTCTTTCTTCTCTCCTTCATATTAGACAGGAAACACTAAAATTCTGGGAACAAGATGTGTGTCACACATTGGAAATGTTCGGATCTGCTGATAACATTCAATCTACCCTGGCTAAATGCATGAGGAAGCCACATGGTCACAATCTAATGTAACACAGAACATAACTAGTAAACTCAAGCAACATTCCACATGTTATCACTTTCAGCTTTGCACAACATGTGGAAACAGGCTCACGGCACCATTTGGTTGTGTCAGAACATCTGAGGGAGGAGGATGCACGTTTGAGATTTATTACCCTGGCTCACCTCAGGGAAGTGTCCCAAAGAGTGTATTACACTGCCACGTGGCTGTATGTTACAGAATTCTTTCTTTTAAATGGAGTATGTTCTAGAGATATTATTTACTTTCAGGTGCTTGGAGCATATGGGTAGCCTTGGTTATTCTGAATACTTGCAAGCAAAAGATACCAGTAAATGCTAAAGAGTAACTAGAGGGGAAAAAAAAAAAAGTTGTTCTTTTGATAAGTACTCTATCATTTGCTTCAACCCAACCACCAGTAGTAGTAGTAACAGACACATCTGTTGGAGTCACCTCAACTGTTTCACATGAATTATAAGGCTCAGGTTCAGTTCAGCTTCTTGGCAAGTAATTTGTCTCATGCCAAAGAAAAAAAATGGAAGCAAATTAGGAAAATCACATATGCCAGAAAAATAACAACAACATGATCAAAATCTCCAAACAACTTACCTAAGAAAAGTGAAGTTCAATCTTAGGAATACAGCAGTTCAGCTCTTTCACTTAAATAGCATTAAATGGTCAATTTTTATGTTAGAAAGAAAACTTAAAATTTAATGGACATTAAGTGGAATGCTTCAGCCTCTCCTTTTTAGCAGTGAAATTCCTTTTTATCAGTGATCAAACACTCAACACATTCCGCACAACAGGTATGGTGTGTCAACAACCAAGACACTCCTCCTCACAGCCGGAAGCCATGTTTTCTCTAATTAAGAGGGAAACAAAACCTCTACTAAGATGCAAATCTACCCCTTCATTAAGGTAAGCGACCAGGGTCCAGAGTCTTAGAAATTATCACTTGATCACTAGTTCTGAGGTGAAAACATTCATGAATCCATATACACTAATCAAGGTAGTCAAAAAATAAAGGTAAAAAGGAAAGCTGTAAGCAGGTCAATTTCTTTTTTTTTTWWAWTTTTTTTTTATTATTTTTTTTTATTGGTKGTTCACMACATTACAAAGCTCTTGACATATCATATTTCATACATTAGATTGAAGTGGGTTATGAACTCCCAATTTTTACCCCAAATGCAGATTGCAGAATCACGTCGTTTACACATCCACAATTTTACATAATGCCCAATTAGTAACTGTTGTATTCTGCTACCTTTCCTATCCCCTACTATCCCCCCTCCCCTTCCCTCCTATCTTCTCTCTCCACCCCATCTACTATAATTCATTTCTCTCCTTGTTTATTTTCCCATTCCCCTCACAACCTCTTATATGTAATTTTGTATAGCAATGAGGGTCTSCCTTCATTTCCATGCAATTTCCCTTTTGGGAGGGAAGGGGAGAGAAAAGCAGGTCAATTTCACAACATGTGGGCTCCAGATAAGGAAAGCTTCCCTAACCCAGAGTTTTCTCTATCTGTGTATGTATTGTTGTTGTTGTTGTTTTGTTTTGTTTTTGATTTTTAAACTGGTGACTGAATCCAGGGTCTCCTTCATTCAAGAGAAGCACTTTACCATTAAGCTATATCCTCTGTCCTTTTTTTCTTATTTTTTGTTTTGAGACAAGGTTTCACCAACTTGCCTGGACTGGCTTCTAACAATCCTCCTGCCTCAGCCTCCCCAGTCCCTGGAATTACGGGCGTGCCTGGCCATATCACCTCGTCTGGTTCTTTAAAAAAGGAAATTAAATATGAATCAAAAGAAACCCGATAGTCAAAAGAGGAAACTGTACTCTAACRAACCAAACAATGGTTTACATACTTCACATCCAGTGATGTAAATACGTTATATCATTTGTTAAAGATGAGCCTGAGAAGGYGGTAAGGGGACTACCACTCAGTTGCAGTTGTCTGATATCTACATCCATAAATTCATATTACAATGCTATCCTAACAGGAAGTTCTATATTAAATGAAAAAAGTCAATTTTGAATTTTGACTATCAGCATTTCAAAAAAAATTCTCATCCAGCTTAATTACTTTCTAAAAGTAGATTTTTACGAGTTTGGCCAATTACCAAAATTGCTTCTTCCAACAAAAATGGAACCATTTTCATTATCTGATGTCCATGACCATTTTTCATTTTTGCAAAAACTGACAAAAGCCCATCTTATCAGGAAGCTAGCGTATGTAACACAATTTCTATTTACGTGGAATACTCCACCTTCTAGAAATTTAAATTGTAACAACTGTGCAAATATTTAACTTCACCTAAAATYACTTCAGCCCAACCCCAAGAAAAATCATTTTGATGGAAATATTTCATTTCACTACCTGTAAAGCCCAATATAAAGCTAGATGGTTCAGCATAKTCCTAAGTGATATTCTGTTGCTATGGCAACGAAACTCTACTACCTGTGGCCATGATTTGTTAAGAATTCCTCCAACCAGTAAATTCTGTGCTGTGCATTCATAAAATCAGGAGAATGACTCTAAGCAACACAAAAAAATAAGGATTGATTTCCTACTTATGCTCTATCCACATGCATATTTACAACATAAATATGCATATGTACACACTCCCACAATTATGACTCCAACTCCACAAAAAGGGGAAAACCATATCAAATTTCATTTTAAAATAGGGACGAAAAACTGCTATTTTAGATTTCATTGAATAAATGCCATTTCCCAAAACATACCTTAAAAAACAATAGAGACTAGCTGGAAAATATTTTAAAAACAAGAAAATTATATTATTTACATCCTACCTCATTCCAAGATGGAAAAAGAAAAAAAAATAAAGATCATGAGGTATAGAGGTATAATGTCCAATCTGTTCCAGTAAGTGTAGCTTCTTAAGCAGTGAGCTGATTTAGAAAACATAAAGCTAAAGAATACAGAAAAATATGGTCACCACAACATTTATTTACCAAATTGCCTCTGCAGGCTACTCACCCTCACTGGGGGGCTCCAGGCTTGCACCCGAGGCTGCTGTTCACACTGGGAGCTCTGCAGATCTTTTGCGCTACAATTAGCCACAGTGCTGCCCTGAGCCCTTAATGCATTTGTGCAGTTGGTCCCACTGCCCCCACCAGGGCTAGGTTTCCAAGGCCTCTGCTTGATGCCATCCAGAAGTCTGACCAGCAGGATGTTACTGGGAAGCTCCTCAACACCAGAGCCAACAAGAGTCCTGCACTCGGGACATCTGAGTTCATTCCGGGAACCTACTATCCCCAGCAAACACCGTTTGCAAAACGTGTGCTGGCAAGGCAAGACTTTTGCAGAAGCATCCAGGCGTTCTAGACACACAGGACACTCCAAAAGATCCAACAAGGCAGATTCATCCATCTTGATCTACTTTACTGAGAAAAGGGTTTCAGAAATGTTCATAGTTGTATGCAGCTCTTAAAATGATTCATGTAACATCCATTTCAGACTTTGCTCTAGAGTCATGAGGAAAGGAGGAGGAAAGAGAAAATTAGTGTTATCTGGAGAAAAGTTCAGAGGAGCCAAGAACCAAAAAGTATACAAAAGTGCTTCCTCTGCATGGCTTAGCTTTGCTTTGGAATGTGGTTCTAAACTCCAAAGTCAACAATCAAAAAACAAACAGGGTTTTTTAAACAACTCAGAATTAATTGCTAATGTGATCTAGGAGTCTGCTGTGCAGAAATGACTATCAACGATTTTACAGGATTCCTGAAATAAAAGGGTATATGAAATGCAGTAAAGAACATTTTTTCAGCTCTGAAAGTTGCCTCAGTACAGTCTTCAACTCACAGGAGAAGCTGAACAGAAGCAATTGAGTTTCCTCTACCTGAAATTACTTTTAAACCTAACGAAGTTCCCGATTTTTTAAGCCATTTCAGCGTTTAAGAAACCAAACCTCACGTGACCCTGGTGGCAAGATTCCAATAATAAATACATATGTTGCTGCTCTGTCTTAAAAACAACTGTTTAATCTTGTCCAACCAAGACCTTAAGGCTGACAATTCTTAAGGATATWACTAAGATGTGCTTGAAAATATCTAAGACATCACAGCACCCTTGGTGGTGGTGGTGGTTGACAAACTCCGATAACAGATTTCTGAACGGCCGGTCCTAATCCCATTCAGAAAATCTAGCAAAATTACCACCAAAAGAAATCGACAATGGAATGCTGAGCTGAAAACTGTGAGCATAATATGAAAATGGGGCCCATTCAGGAAGACGCATTTATAAACCAGTTACTGTTTGTTCCACGCAACACCCCCCCMCACTGCCACCACTAAAATAAATGTAAATGTGAATGCCTAGGAGCAAAGGGGTGARAAGTGAAAAGACTGGGATGGCAGCACTGACAGCTGTTCTGGACCAAGTAGGGGTTGGGGAGCTCCAGGGCTGCGCCCCCTTACTCGCGGCCGAGCACAGGTAGTCCCCGACCCCGCAGGAGGCGCGGCGCCGCCCGCCGCAGACACACCCCGGAGCCAGGTGTCGGCGGCGGCGCAGGCAGAGGACGGTCCGGGGCTGGGGCTGGGGCTCGGCCGCGGCCGGATGGGTCCGGGAACGGGGACCTCACCCCACCGCCTCATCTCCGTCTCCCATCAGGTCAGGCTGAGGACAGAAAATTCCCCCCACGACTGCGGGAAGTTTTCAAGGACTTAAAAATAAACGTGCAGCCTGAAGTTGCGAAACTCAGCCCCACAAAGTGCCCTGGGAAGCAGATCTGTCGCCCCGCAGAGATGAGGCGWCTCCCCGGAGAGCCAGCCAGCCAGCCATCCGGGAAGCTGAGGCGCAGGGCTGCGCCCGGGGAAACCGCGGCACGGAGCCTGGGCAGCTTCCTGCCCGGAGAAGGCAGAGAGGCCGCGGGCTCGGTTCCCGCAGGTCCGGGTGGCCGGCCCCAGGAGAAGCGCGGGTGAGGGGGCAGAGGCTGACCAGTGCGGGGGTGGGGGGGACACAGCGACCTCCGCCGCCTCCGCGGCGACGGTCTGCCGACACCGGGTCCCCCGGCCCCGCGCCCGCCGCGCGCCCTACCTCGCGCCTCGGCTCCTCCTCTTTGTTCGCGGCCCCGCAGAGGCCGCCGCGGCCGGTGCAGATGCGGCCCCGCCGCGCCCGCCGCTCGCTGTGTCTCTGACGCCGCGGTGGCACCGGGAGCCTCCTCTCTGCTGCCCCCCTCACGCGCGCACACACAGCACGCCGCCGCCGCCGCCTCCCACTTTCCCAGCCAAGGAGGGCGGAGGAAGAGGAGGAGAAGGAGGCCGAGCCGCAGCCGTCGCCCGGGGCGCGAGGGGGCGGCCCCGCGCCACAGCGCCTCCCCCCGGAGCGGCAGCCGCACCTCTGGGAGGCGCCGGGCGCCGCGGCTCTCCCGGCGCTGAGCTACCTGCGCGCCCGGCCCCGCCGGACCCCGGGGCAGGATGGGGGCGGCGGCCAGAGGAGACGCTGCAGGAGCCCGGGGCCCGGGAAACCAGATCCCTGGGGAGCAGCGAGGAGGGAGGTTTGGGGACCGACGCCTTCTCACGGAGGAAAACACGCCTGGAAAATGGAGCTCCCAGGGAGATGGCGCTGGAAGTGGAGGCTGAGTGCAGAAGGAAGGAGCCCGGGGCAAGGGCTGACCGCGTCCTCCTCCTGCCCCGCGGTGCCCGGCGGCCCGAGACCGTCTGCTCGGGACACGAGGGGCTGGGTCGTAGGAAGGGCGGGAGCAGCCCTGGCGGGAACCGATCCGCTCTGCTTTGCGCCTTTTCGCCCAGTCCTGGACACTGTCCGAAGGGCCTGAGCCAAGTGTTTGTGCCCCTGAGGTCCGGAGTGGCGTGCTGAATCGGTGGGGGACAGTCCCGGGGCCGCGGTCCAGTTGCGGGATTCCGCCTGGCATTTCTCCCCCAAGCATCACCCTCGCCCACAACCCCGAGCTAGTCTGGACCATTGCAGATCCCAAAACTCACAATCGGGATGGAGGAAGACTAGGGGAACAGTGGGCTGAGCTTAAAACCCAAACTCAACACCTGCCCTAAACCGGGAGAATTCAAAGTCTGACCTCAGGTGGGCTGGCGCCGAGAAGCTCGCTGGGAGGTACCTCTTTTATCTGAGCCTGGGAGGCAGCCATCTTCACCACTGTAATCTTTGTTTTGGTTGCCCCAGGCACACACCTGTAAACTCTGAAGCATAGTTTTGAAAAATGCCCTGTCCACAGGCTTGGAGGTTTGTTTTTCAGACTTGATTAAATGGGAAAACGAGTTAAAATTTTGTCATTGATCTCAAAGTTGTTATTATTTTATTTGCATATATATATATATATATTTATTTATTTATATTTATATATACATATATATTTTTTTTTCTTCAAACGTTGGCAGAAACTAGGCAGAAATAAGGAGAAAGGGTTACAGAGATTTGGCAATTCCTGCCAGGCCTCCAACCAGACTGACAATTTGAGGAAGAGTCTCAGATTATCCTCTGGTCTCCAGCCAGGGCCATAGCTAAACCATTCAAGACAAATGAGGATCACTTAAGTAAGCAAAAATTATAACAAGTAACAATTATCATTCACTGCAAGCCAGACACTGTGCTAAACACTTTACATGTATTAATTCAAGTCGCACAGCAACCTTTTATGTCATCCTTCCTCAGCTTTGTTCTAAATAGATTAATGTGCTGAGAGTGATATTGTCTGAACTCCACTTCCTTCTCCATTAGAAGGGAGAAAGTACACATGCATTTGAGTTGAGAAAGACAAGAGAAGGAATAGATGGGTTGGAGAATGCTTTAATCTATCTGCAAACAAACCATTCTGAAAATGAGTGTKTACTCCATTGTAGTTCTGTATCTGGAACTGTGCAGATGAAGATGATGAGGCTGACTGGAAAGCTTAGTCAGCAAACAGGAAAGGATTGTTACATTGACTTTATAGTAACTAAAACTGAAGCTCAAGTGGGTTATCTTCCTTCCCGGGTCATGCAATAAGTAATGTTRAACCAAGACTCAACCCAGCTTTTCTGATTCCAAGTCCAGTTTTCTTTCCATCATTCTAAGCCTCTCTCTCTTTTACATATCATTGTCATACCCTTTACCCCCAAGCAATACTAAGGACAGCTCATCAATTCCCAAGGTAAAGAAGAAACAGTTGATCATGTATTTACAGTGAAGAGCAAAAGACAAGTTTTTGTTTTATTCTTATTTCCACTTGCTGCTCCTCTTGTTGTTAGAGCAACACACAAGGTCAACTGTAGGAAATTAATACCCGTTTTCAAAGAACTGAAGATACTACATCCCAAGACTGCAATGATGGAAGAAACCAGCACATACATCCCCATGAATATTATCTGAGACTTGGGTGAAGTTCTCTGAATGTCTCTGGTGCATGTTTACTCTATTTTAGGACAAAACTATTTTTCTGGGGCAGGGGCAGGCATGCTGGGGATTAACCCAGGGATATTGCTACCACTGAGACACATCCCCTGTTCTATTTATTTATTTACTTATTTACTTATTTTGGTACCAGGGATTGAACTCAGGGGCACTCAGCCACTGAGCCACATCCCCAGTCCTATTTTTGTATTTTACTTAGAGACAGGGTCTCATGGAGTTGCTTAGTGCCTCGCCATTGCTAAGGCTGGCTTTAAACTCGAGATCCTCCTGCCTCGGCCTCCCAAGCCCAGCCCCTTCCCCAGTTCTTTTTAAATTTTTTATTCAGACACGGGTCTCACTATGTTGCTGAGGCTGGCTTCAATTTGCAATCCTCCTGCTTCAGCCTCCAGAGTCACTGGGATTACAAATGTGCCACCATGCCTAGATTAAGAAACAACTTTTTACTAGTTCTACTTACTCTGGCTGTTAAATGAAGCCTTAGGCAAGTTCTTTAATCTCTTGAGCCATTTTCTGTCAAACAGTTAAAAAAAAATTCTTAGAATGGTATTGGACAAGTAGATGAAAATAATGTCCTGCTTCTTTTCAATCTGTACATCCATATTAAAGTAAGATATCATCATCATTATCAGCCAAGAATCACCCAGCCAGAGTTATACTAGTTATTCTTTCTTTCCAGATCCTTAAAACACTTGCAATTGAAAATCCTGTCAAGAGACTACCATAAGGAAGGGACAGTGGAGAAGGAGAAGCATATTAATTTTCTCATTTCTGAGAACTGAACATGAAGGGAAAGAATGTGTGTTATGCTTAYGACCCCTGTGACTTTGAGCAGATACATGAAAAATATAAACACATTCTGTGACATAATAATGATAGCTTGGATGTATACAGTTTTTATCTTCCCAAGACTTCAAAGTCCTTTCATATRTATTATCTCATTTATCTTCTCAGCTTCCCTGTGGAGCAGTAAAGACAGATATAATTATCCCCAAGTTGCAGATGGGGTGGGGGATGGGGGACAAGAAATAACAGAAGTTATTGCTCTTAGTGGTAACACAAATCAGACTGTAAAAGTCCCAGCCCGATGTACTCTTCAATAGCTCTGGTGCCATGCTTATACATGCGCACACATATGTGTCTGATTATGATTTTCCTTCAGAATTTTTTCCTCCTACAGTAGCTATGATATTGGTAAATGACACATTATTTGTCCAGTTGCTCAAACCAGAAACCTAGGTGTCATCTTTGACTTCTCCCTTTTTCTCTCCATCCCGTTCCATCAACAGATCCACTTGCTTCTCTCAAAATATTTTTTCAGTCTCTACCCACTCCCTTTACCTCCGGCTATGGTTTGAACCCTCCAAAATTCTCCCTGAATTTAACAGTGGTGGGAGATGGTGGAGCCTTGAAGAGATGTTAGGGTCATGAGAATGCCACCTTAATGAAGAGATTCATGCCTCTCTGGTGAGACTAAGTTAATTCTAGAAGTGAGTTCGTTCTCCTGCGTGACTGGATTACTGAGAGAAGATTGTTATGAAGTGAGATCATTCCTCAAGCTGTCTCTTCTTCATGTGCCCACTTGCCTTCCACTTTTCCACCATGTTATGATGTAGCACAAGACCTTAACCAGAAGCCAGAAAATACCAGTGCCATGCTCTTGAACTTCCCACCCTCCAGAGCTGTGAGCACAAATGAACCCTTCTTCTTTATAAATCATCTAGTCTCCAGTATTCTGTTAGAGAAACAGCAAATAACTAAGCCACCATCCATTGCCTCTGGTCCTCCTAAGTAGCCTCTTTGCTTCTACTCTTATTCCCATAGTCTTGTCTGGAAAGTAGTGGCATTCAGTATAAGTTGCAAAAAAAAAAAAAAAAAAAATTGGGGGAGCCGGGTGTTTTAACATGTGATGTTACTTCCTTGCTTAAAATTCATTAATTATACCTGAAATGAAAATTGAACATCTTCCATATCTTACAAGATCCTCTGTCACCTGGACCCTGCACCATCATGTTCTGCCAAAGCATTTATTTACCTCTCTTATAGTACTTTTTGCTAATTTTTCCATTATTTATTGCCTTCGTCCTTTACCTGAATATAAGCCAGGGACGGGGTCCATTGAGAGTTCTGTTAAGAGTTTTTGTTACAATCTATCTATCTGTCAATAAGTTTTATGTAGAAGATGAGAACACATGATTCTTCCTCATGCATTTCACTGTGAAGCTGGAGAAACAGCTAAATAAATGCCAGCTCTTAAACACAGAATGTAAATGCAGTACCAGTTCATCTTCATTCTAGGTCTTAATTACGGTGTCACCATCTACTTAGTTCCCCAAGCATGCAAGAAAATACACAATTATCTTCATCTCTCCCTTTTCTCCCGATCTCTCCCATTCTCACCTTCTCCATATAGATACCACAGAGATCATCGGAAGTGTCTGGTGAATCTCTCCCCATACTTCTTTCAGGCCTGGTTATCACCCACCTGGACAATAACTATTTGCCCTGCCCCCCATCTCTCCAGTACTTGATTCTTAGAGGTCAGAGGTTGTGCCATCTCTTAACTTGACCTTGGGAAAGTTCATCTTCTCTGACTGTAATTTCCCTTGTACAATGGGCATAATAATAATAATAATACCTCAGGGTTTTGAAGTAATTCTTACCTAATAAAAACAAAATGGCTAGACTATGTCCAACACATTGTAAATGTTTAATGTATGATTTATTGTTTTTATTAGAAACAGATTCAATCCTGGATCTACTACCTGTTAGCTGAATGACTTTGCAAATTTCTTTAATTTCCCGAATTTCAACATCCTTATCTATACAAATGAATATCATACTATCTACTTTGAAAGCTTGTTGAAAAACCTAGCACAGCACTTCTGGAGAATGTACTCAGAACTCAATAAAATGGT